CACTATCTCAACAAATTAGAATACTTCATAAGACCAATAAAAAAACATTTTCAATGAATTGTTGGCCTTCTGGAAAGTATGTTCATTTACTGTACATGTACTCAATACTTGGTAGGGGCTCCTTTTGCTTTAATTACTGCCTCAATTCGGCGTGGCATGGAGGTGATCGGTTTGTGGCACTGCTGACACGACATTCTAATTTATTGAGATGCACCTGTACATAAGAAACAGTTATAAAAATTGTACAACCGTAATTAGTACTGGTCTGAGCAGTGGCTCAGGGTTTGAATTTATGAGTTTATATTAAGGTAAATGTTTACTAAATGTGATCATGGATGGATCATTTTGTACTAACTAACAAGTGTAACAGTTTGTAACCAAGTGTTTGAGAAAGTATTTGAAAAAACATATTTATCGCCTATTATTCTGACTGTTGGATGGTTCTTTTCTCAATCAATGTTTATGGAATTTATGACTCTGCCTGTACATGAAAGTAGTAAACCAAGAGCCGAACGTATCCTATATTTACATTTTTAGAAGCACCAGTTAATGAATATAGCAATGTCATCCATTAAATCAATCGGTCAGGCAGAAACCGAAGCCGTGCTAAAACACTGTAGGACAGTGAAGGACATAATGGTCAACTCGTGTTTCCGGTTTCTTGGATATCAGTCCTCCTCTGTCCTGATGACAGTCTCTCTCCCTCAGCATCAGTAATCAGTCTCATTCAGCTCTTGAGTGCTGCATCTTGGTAAGGCCAGAGTGTAACATAAAATCAATGTTTCATTAACATTTAATGACTTGGACTGCCTTAACAGCACCAGGACAGATGCATGTGCGCCAGGTTTCAGAGTGACTTTAGCTGCTGACTTGATTACAGTTTGAATGTTCTTCCGATGATAGTTACAGCACTGATGCTTGTAGGAAAAGCTGATCCCAGATCAGCAGCGCCATTGCTGAGATGTGTAGGTGTTGTCAGGGAGGAACACAGGAAGAAGTCGCTCATTCATTCTGATTTGTGACTGTTGTGTTTGTGATCAGAATTTATATCCGTCTAACAGTAAGAAGAACAGATTACAAGCACAGTTCTACTAATGCAGGGGTTTTAAACTGGGGTCAGGGGTCCGTGAGTGGGATCTAAAAGCATCTAAAAGCACTTTCAGTGTACGTTTCATAAGTCTCATTTGAGAGAAAGTAAAATATTTAGTCAAATAAAAAAAGAGGCAACAGACTGCTTGTGCTATTGATTTTATTGTTCATAAACATCACTATTGGCTTTACCCTTCATAACAGGCAAAATGTAATATCAGAAGTGGAAAAGTCTTTACGGTTTTACATAGGGAGGCAGGAAGATAGAGAGAGAAGGCAAGGGAAAAGAAGAGAGACAATCTGAAATCTCTGAAGGACCATATGGATGGCTGTGAGTTGCCTACCATATGCTGAAGGCTTTTGTCATGGAAATAAGTTTGTTTTTTTGGCACTTCATATTATTGTTCAGCCAGGCTGGGCACTTCCACAAAAGAAAAAAAAAACAGGAGAGAAAAAGAGGGACCGGGACAAAGAAATATGTGTAGATCCTAGTGAACAGAGAGAGAATAATTAGCATTGTTAATATTGCTGGTAGCTACAGCAGGTAATGAACTAATGAAGTCCCTGATCCTGTTCAGCCTGTCCAGGGTTAAACGGCTCAGAAAAGGTAAAAGCAAAGGGATCTGCTTGCATGCGGTGTCTCGTTATTGCTGAGATCTATATACATACATATTTACACTTGCTTCAGGAAAAACGGGGGGAAAGCATTCACTTTCTCAGTCTCTTCAGTTATCTCATGTTTCTGAACATTTGTGGAAAAATGAATTTTCTTAAAACAAAGAGATGGTGGTAGTCCTTTGGAATAGTATTTAAAAGAGCTCATCTACATTACATCAAGCTTTGCATAATTAGAATTGACTCTAAATTCAAGCCTTATTACAATGGAAAATATCCAGATGGACATTCATAACAGATAGTCTGTTGATTCTTCACAGCTGTGGGTGTGTCAGAAATATGAGGGGATGATTTAGGAAAAAAAGCAGGGTGAATGTCCATTAGGGTCAGAAATTAATAGGATTTGGAGCAAGAATACCACAAAATGTGCTAGACAGGACACATTTCTACATGATATATCTGTTAGATAACATTTGTATATTTTTCATTTATGCTACCGTTCAAAAGTAAGATTTTTAAAAAATGTTTTTAAAGTCTCTTAAGGCTGCATTTATTTGAACAGTAATACTGTAAAAATGTTTTATTGTGAAATATTTTTACAATTTAAAAGAACTATTTTAAATTTAATATATTTTCAAATGTAATTTATGATGGCAAAGCTGAATTTTCAGCATCCTTACTCCAGTCTTCAGTTTCACTTATTTTCAATGTTGAAAACAGTTAATATTGCTGCTTAATATTCTTGTGGAAGCCATGATAATTTTTTTTCAGGATTCTTTGATGAATATAATGATTGTTTATTTGAATAGAAATCTTTTGTCAAATTCTAAATGTCTTTACTGTCACCTTTGATCAATTTAATCAGTTGAAACCCCAAACCTTTGAATGGTAGTGTTTGTGTGTGTGTGTGTGTGTGTGTGTGTGTATATATATATATATATATATATATATCATAATATTCTATTCTATTGGTCTGTGTACCTTATTCTGTCTAGAATAAAGTACACAACCAGTGATCAAGTATTAATTTAAGTAAAAAATTTCCAGCTGTTTCAGAGGGTGCATTTTTTATTTTAATAGCTGTTATTATATTTCGGACACTGATGTCCATCAGCAATGAGTGTGAAATACCATGCAGAACTCTGCTAAGACACGTTGAGACACAGCGTGTCAATGTACGAGGTCAGGAATGGGTGGAAAAGAGGCGAAGAGGAGAAGAAAAGTGGGAGGAGAAACTCATTACCTATTCCCCACAGGTTTTGGCCCATTACTGAGATTGTGCCGTCTTTTTATAATATGCAAAACGCTGACAGAGCCTTTGGCTGGTGCTGCACGACCTTCCTCACAAGGTCAAACTCAGACTCAATTATGCTCTCAGACTACTGTCTGTCCACCAACACCTGTTAACCCTTTAGGGGAGTGAACGCAGCCTCGGTTCACTCAGACATGAGCTGCATCATATATGCTGATGCATATTGTCCTATGCAATGTTTCATTCCTCAGGATGGTGCTAAATTAAATTTCATTATAAAATAAGCAGCTTTGTTTCTGCCTTTTCTACTTCACAGGAGAGACAGCAAGGAGACCGCTGATTTACACTGTCGCATTCTGATTGCACTTCTCATCCTTTCATCTCCAAACATCTTTCAGATCTTTATTATACAGGCATCAGCACATTGGCGCCATATGCTCAGCTATTTCCATCAATGCTGCCATTAAGCCTCTATTTTGTTTCATCTCGGTCCTGAACCCAGCACTCCTTTCTCCCAAACACTGAATAATCCATCCTGATTGGCCATTCAGGGGGGTCATTATTTCTGGGTCTAGGATTTGGAACTTCTATTTCACGTCACTGAAACTCTGTCATATTCAAGTCATCGTTTGGCGGCCGCAACTTATGATGGGATTTATTTGGACAGCTAAAGCCAAATTCATGAAATATGTCATGCTGTGGGTTAGTCTTTTTATAATTGCATTCAAAACTATTGCTGAGACATAAGACAGTTATATTAAGTCTGTGATAATAGTAAAAATTCTGTTAGAAAAAGGCTTATTGCTGCTGATTTTCTTATTAAAATGTTGTTTTAATTTGTAAGTACAAAAAGAACAAGAATTGTATTATCTGTCGAGTTTGATTTGCACTTTCAGGGATTAATATATTAATGTATGTTTTTGTTGGTGTTCACATGTAAAAGAGATTTCTCGATTACTAAATTGTTTGGCATTTGGCGATGAGATGAACTGTGATGTCACAAATGTGGGTGGAGACACACATACACACCATATGTAGACATTCTGGATGGTCTTAGCAAGAAATGGAGTTCTAGAAACGACGAAATGGAGAGAATGACCTTTGAGATATTAAGGAGGTTTTTGTTTATTGCCCTACATTGACTGCTAACAGGACAGCTGTGATTATACAAGTTGCTGTTCCTAAGAAGAATTATTGCCCATTAAACAAAGCATCACACCTGAATTAATTTGCTTTCAAACACTGCATACCGTCCCTCTCAAAAAAAAGAATAAAATCCCTCTACAGCTGAATCATGCATATAAAGATTTTCATTAAAGAGCAGCATCTTAAAAGTTAAACGGCAGTTCAGTATCCAATAGCACAGAGAATAATCGACCAAATAAATAAATAAGTAGATAGATAGGTACATAAATAAATAAATAAATACACATGAAATAAATAAGAAAATGAAAATAGTGCATAAATAAATACATAAATACTCAACAACAATATTGGAATGGTAGAAATTAGGTTTGTGTGATGGGCGCTTTGAGAGTGTGGACAGAGCAGAGGTTAGAGGTCATACCTGCCTCTGGGTGAGGTAATCATGGAGCAGGAAGACAAGGGGCGGAGCTCCAGGCATCTGGAGCACATGCAGTCTGTTTTAGTGTGAGGAAGCCCAGCAGAGCGAGCAGAGATGTTGTTGAAAGTCCCTGTCGTCCGTATTTTGAATGTTTCGAATGTTTGGAGATCATTGAAATGTTTAGTCTTGAGTGCTGTTTCCTCCGTATGGTAAACACAGAGTGATGGTCGCTCTGCTCGAATAGTTACTGGACATGATTGGCACAATAAATAAATAAACAAATCAATAATGGAACCAAGAAACAGCAGGAAACTTTGAATATAAAAATAACAATTATAAATAAAATACCAAAAGTGTAACAAAAGTTTGTACCTTTTCAGAGGTCTACAATCTTTTTTTTTTTCTTTTTTGCAAATACTGTCATTATTCATATTTTCATAAAAAGTTCATGTTGGCAGTTGCAAAATAATTCAAAATAAAAGAGCAGCATAAAAATACAAATTGATTTCATTTCTCAAAAAGCACAAACCTGTTGCTGTCTTTTTTATGTCTTTTTATGATTTACTATAAAACATCAGGAATCTAAATATTATTACTATCGTTATTAATAGTATTATGTTCATAAAAATTTGCATGCCAAGCCTCATAATTGTACGTGTCTATATGAGAGGGTCTTTTTTTACCAAAGAAAAAAATCCAGCATCTATTCATTATTGTCTTCTTATTATTGGGTTGGTTTGGTTTTTTTCTTGGTGAAAATATTGCTTTCTAAAAAAGGGAAAGTGGGGTGTGTGAAGGGAGTCTCTGGGGGGATTTTTGAGAGCGTTAACTCATCTTCATCTTTTCTCTTTTGTTAATTCTCGGAGCCAGACTCGTCCTCGTCTCCGGAGCCTCTGAAGCAGGCGGACTCATAGTGCTTGTTCAGGTAGGACTTCAGCGCGAAGGTCTTATTGCAGCGCTTGCAGCGGTAGTGTTTGAAGGCCGAATGCGTCTGCATGTGCGCTCGTAGGTTGGACCGGTCGGCGAAGGCTTTCCCGCAGTGGGCGCAGGCAAAGGGTTTTTCTCCCGTATGCGATCGCATGTGCCCCTGAAGCAGCCAGGGCCGGCTGAAGGCTTTGCTGCACACATGACATTTGTGCTTGAGGTTATGAGTGAGGATGTGCATGGCCAGCGCCGGCATGGACACGTAAACCTTGTCGCAGGTGGGACACTTGCGTGCCATCTTGCTGTCAAGGCTGCGGTGGGTCTGCTTGTGTCGGCTCAGGTTGGATGAAGTGGCGTAGGTCTTTCCGCACTCGTTGCAGGTGTGTCGGGAACCACCGTTGTTCACCGCCACCACTTCTTTCTCATCATCGGCAGCCTTCCTTGCTTCTGCGACCTCTCCCTTCCTCCTTGAACGGCCGTCAGATATGAAGAACGTGTCCATGGTGTAACCCTCACTGAGAGATTCGCTCTCGCTGTTGAAGTATCCACGGGCCGTGAGGCCGGACTGGGGGCTGTCCGGGTGCTCCAGGTCCGGTTGGCAGTACTCCCCTCCTCCGCTGCTGACTGGGGAGTACAGTGGATCCGAGCTCAGCTTCATGTCGGCCTGCTTCTCCTCTGTGTATTCAGAAGGGCTGATGCAATCCTGGATGTAGCCTGCAGCAGAGCAGAGAACATGAATAGGTTATTACCTCATTGACCTTTCACTTCTACAATGAACTCAAGGTGTAAAGCAATTAAAGACACAGATGAAGTACACTACAGACACAATGTGAATGTCTGACACAACAAAATAAAAGTACAACAAGTGCAATGACAAATACACTGTTAAAAATAAAGGTTCTTTATTGGCAACTGTGTTTCCATGAAGAACCTTTAACATCCATGGAACATTTCCATTCCAAAAAAGGAAGAAAAACGGTTCTTTTGATTATTAAAATGTTCTTCACACAAAGGAAAAATAAATGTTCTTTTAAGCACCAGTCACTGAAAGGTTCTTTCAGGATCCCAAAATAGTGTGGCATTGCTGCGAATGTTCCCCTTTTGGAACCTTTATTTGTAAGAGTGTAAATACCTGTTTCAGTGATATAGTTTGTATGGTGGAAACCAATTTTTTCTACAGATTTTTTTTTATTTGCCAATTACCTTTTTATTAATGTATTAATTTATTCATTTTTTATTTAATTTGACATAATGTGACTTCTTATCTCAACATTGCGAATTTGTTTTCACAATATGAACTCTTAGCTCACAATTGTGACTTTGCATATTGCAATGTGACTTTGTATCTCAAATGAGAGTTTATATTTCATGGTATGGCTTTATATCTCACAATTGTGATGTTATTTCTGATTTTAAACTTATTTATTTTTTGCTATGAGGTGCAAATGGGCTTCCATAGTTTCTGATGGCTGTTTGAGGACTACTGCATAGCTCATTCATGTAAGTGTGTGAGAGAGAGATTGAGACCCAAAAGGTTTTAACATGGTTAATGGCTAATTAAGCAGGTTAACTGTGGTGGAAGCATCACTGTCTCTCTTTCTCTCCATTATCTGAGGCCTTCCTTTGAGTTTTGTGTTTATTTGTCCACTGTGCACAGCATAATCTGTTAAAAGTGGAAGTAAAGAGAGGTTGACATTATGAATGAATTTAAACCGTTTTAAGGAAATCTGGACTTTACAAAATACTTTCACTTCTCTCCGAAGAGAACCGAAGCTCTTTCCCAGATTTCAAAACATTGAAATTGTTCCAAACATTGAAGTATATTACAAATGTATTCCTAATACAGGACGTCTTATTACCTTTCTATCTGCTGAAGCAAATAAACTCCCTCCTAACTTCTCTAAACTGATTATGGAGCCCTTTGACCATGAAGAGCGAGTCTTAATGCATCGTGAGGGTCATTCAGGAGCTGCTAAAAGGATTTCTGGCAGCCGTGGGGCTCAGACGCGTTTATTGCCATTGGAATTCCACCGACATAATACACCTTCCAAGGTGCCATGTCTTCAACAAAATGTTTATAATTAAATCTGTGTGCTAAAATGGAAACCCAAAAGGCATTAAATGCAGTGCAGTATCTGTGTAAGCTAGTTATACAGTGAGACTGAAGACAGCAATGAGTAATAAGGACGCAGCTGGCCAGGAGAAAAATCAACAGGATCAGCAGAGGGACTGAGAGGATGTTATTTGGCATATATAACCACATTGTCCACACGTTGTCTTGGGGGTTTTTCATAATCATATTTTCTGTCAGAACATCTGACTATAGGTATTGTTACGAAAGTAAAACTTAGCAAAGAAAGAAAGAAAGAAGCTTGCACAGTTTGAATAAATAGCATAAATAATCTGAATATAACTGTAATATAGTAATACAATCAATAATATAAAATAAGTAATTCAGTAATGCAATTGTCACAACACACACACGAGGATTACCGGAACTAAGGAGCGAGGAGACGAGGAATATACGACACAGTCTTTAATCCATGGAACACAGGGTACATAAACACAGGAGACAGCAGGAAACACATCCACGCAACAAGTAGACCAGACAAAAGGGAAACTGAACAGGCAGGAACTTAAATACAAGGGTAATTAATAGAACACAGCTGAATGGAATCATAATTAAACTAAACAAGGACAGGAAAATGACCAAATAAGGAAACACAGAAAGGCACATGAGGAGCAAAACACACACAAAACACGGACCAGAGTCTGACATAACTCCCCCCTCCCGCAAGGCGCGTCCCGCGCCGTACAACATCCAATGGGGAGGGGCGCTCTGGAGGCCTCTATGAGCAGGGTTACCGGACGGAAGGCCTCCAGGGCGACGCCCGTTCCGGGATCCATGGCGAATCCGGCAGTTCGGGGCGCCATGGCGGAGCAGGTGACTCAGGAGGCCATGGCGGAGCAGGGAGCTCGGGGAGCCATGGCGGAGCAGGGAGCTTGGGGAGACATGGCAGAGCAGGGAGTTCAGGAGGCCATGGCAAAGCAGCCTCCGAGGCCGTGGCCCCGGCCCCCGCCTCGGCCTCTACGGCTGGAGCCCTACTACCCCTAGAGCGAGCTCTGGGGCTGGAGCCGACACTGGAGTGAGCTCTGGGGTAGCCGGCGGGCCTTTCTTCAGAGCGGCCAGCGGGTTTGACTCGGGAGCATCCGGCGGGCTTGGGGGAGCCACGGCCGGCGGGCTCGACTTCAGAGTGGCCGGCAGACTTGACAACGGCGTGGCCGGCGGGCTTGTGTGAGCCATGGCCGGCAGCGGGGTGGGGTGGTCCTCATACCATGGGGAGAAGAAAAGGGAAAACAAAAGATGACAAAAAAACGGAAATAAAAACACGGGAGAAGGGGCGCCGCTTACTGTCTTGGTCTGGTCTTCTGTCACGACACACACACACACGAGGATTACCGGAACTAAGGAGCAAGGAGACGAGGAACATATGAACCAGTCTTTAATCCATGGAACACAGGGTACATAAACACAGGAGACAGCAGCCTCCCGGAAGGCGCTTCCCGCGCCGTACAACATCCAATGGGGAGGGGCGCTCTGGAGGCCTCTATGAGCAGGGTTACTGGACAGAAGACCTCCAGGGCGACGCCCGTTCTGGGATCCATGGTGAATCCGGCAGTTCGGGGCGCCATGGCGGAGCAGGGAGCTTGGGGAGCCATGGCAAAGCAGGGAGTTCAGGAGGCCATGGCAAAGCAGCCTCCGAGGCCGTGGCCCCGGCCCCCGCCTCGGCCTCTCTTCAGAGCGGCCAGCGGGTTTGACTCGGGAGCATCCGGCGGGTTTGGGGGAGCCATGGCCGGCAGGCATGACAACGGCGCGGCCGGCGAACTTGACTTCTGAGCGGCCATCAGGCTTGTCTTCAGCGCGGCCGGCAGGCTGGAGTGAGCCGCGGCCGGCGGGCATGACAACGGCACGGGGAGAAGATAAGGGAAAACAAAAGATGACAAAAAACGGAAATAAAAACACGGGAGAAGGGGCGCCGCTTACTGTCTTGGTCTGGTCTTCTGTCACGACACACACACACGAGGATTACCGGAACTAAGGAGCAAGGAGACGAGGAATATACGAAACAGTCTTTAATCCATGGAACACAGGGTACACAAACACAGGAGACAGCTGGAAACAGAACAACATATCCACGCAACGAGTAGACCAGACAAAAGGGAAACGGAACAGGCAGGAACTTAAAGACAGGGGTAATTAATAGAACACAGCTGAACGGAATCATAATTAAACTAAACAAGGACAGGAAAATGACCAAATAAGGAAACACAGAAAGGCACATGAGGAGCAAAACACACACAAAACATGGACCAGAGTCTGACAGCAATATTCCTAATAAAATAACATATATCATTATTTTTATGATTACAGCACCAAGTTTGAAATAATAGATATGAATAGAATTAACTAGATAGAATTAAATAATATTGTAAATATAAATATAATTCAATTGATAATATAAGAAACTATCCATAATTTAGTAATATTAATGAAACCAACAATAGTTGTAGTAACTGAAATTTTGATGTGAAATTTTTTTGGGTTACATTACTGGCTGACAGGAAGGATGGAGTTGTTTGTCCTTTGTTTAAAGAGCCCTGATGCTCGACCTTCAAGATGCAGCAAAAATGTCTTATGTATAATATGTAATTACAGGAACCGTATGCAGATGATTATACAGAACCATCAATGGAAAATAATTAATATGCGTAAAATAAAGAATGAATGTGTTTCCGATGTTGTTATTGCCTATGAAAATACACTGCAATAACAGCATAAATGTAATTTTAAAAGGAGCAGCACTGCTTTAAAAGTTCATGTAAGCTTGCAATGACCCAAAAACAGATAAACAGTCTGTTGTGTTTTTTTGTAACAGGTGGGAAGATATCCCTCATGTCTTATCTCACTTATCTGTGAAAAACACCATAGCAGGGCAGAGAGAGCCACACATCTGCTGCCAAAATCTGTCTGTGAGGACACAGAGCTCTCTGGACTCCCTTTAGTCTCTCTAGAATAGCTCAGTTTAGCTCAGCCTGTCCCATCATGTCCGCTCAGGGATGCTGGGCTTTACTCTGTGTGTGTGATGCTATTTGCCCTATTGTGCGTGTGCGTGCTGCTACTGCATCATGTGACATAAGTCAGCACTGCCTCCAGCTTCTCTTTCTTTTCATCTCCCTCATTCTCCTTCGAGCCGTACAGTACAGTCCTCGGATGTCTCCAGTGGTGTCAATGATGGCTGAAACCCTACCTCCCCTTCCACCACTTAGATTCATGTACCCGGAAGCAGGAGAGTGAAAAAGAGAAATAGTGCGATGAGGCAGAAAAGGAGGATGGGGGAGGAGAGCGAGAAAGAGAGAGTGCTGTTGGGAGGGGGGAGGGTTTGGACCGAAACTCAAGGGCAGTATCAGCTAAGGACAAACACATCAGCCCCACAAAGCAGCGTGTTAGTATTAGCATTAGCTGTTAAACACAACAAACTGGTATCAAGCCCGCTTCATACGGCTTTATTCGCATAAGCTGATCGCGCTGCGTGACCTGATTTGTGTCGGCACGAGTCAAAAAAACAAAAACAAACAAAGTCTGGGGGGCACAATGGAGGACAGGGCTGGGGGTGAAAGGATGGAGGGTTTTACGGATTAGTTCGCAACAGAACGGAAAGCTTTATGTAACATCTGTTGGACTCTACGCACAATGTTCGAAACACACAACAGATATTTTTTGTAGGCTATACCATTTGGGAACATCAAGCACAAGAAGTTAAGCTACTGTATCTGTATTTAATAATATATTTAGGCATCACACTCACCGTTTTCGCAAAGCCGGACGCCCAGGCTGGAGCGAGAGCGTGTGAAGGAGTCATCGAGATGATGATGATGATGATGATGGTTAGACGCTGACACGGGAGACGAGGAGAAATCATCCAGTTTGATTTTCTTCACCAGGAATGAGCGAGGCATGGTTCACACACGGTCGCACAGACGCACCAGAAATCCTTCACATCGGCCGCAGACAGAAAACAAACCCTGGTGAAAATCGTCCCGAATGAAATCCAGTGTATACAAAAAAAGATCCACGTCCCAGAAACTAAAAAAAAAAAGGTGACTAGATAAAGAAAAAAATGAAGTTCACGCAGGAGAAGAGAGAGATGTCTGGTGCCTTCTACTGTACACACAAACACACACACACCCGCTTACGCTGCTGAAAAAAATAAAAAATTCACTTGTTCAGCACTGGATAGCTCCTGGCCTGCAGCGGAGGCGGCTGAGAGAAGGAAGAGATAGAGAAGAGAGAGAGAGAGAGAGAGCGATAGGAAGAAAGAGAGACAGACAGACAGAGACAGGAGAGACTGAGAGACTAGCTGAGATCAGCAGTCAGGCAGGTTTTATAGAGGCAGACGGTGGGAGTGAGATCAGGTGGTACATCGCAGTGGAGCTGCTCAGCATTAATCCATCAAACATCCCTCGGGACACACATCACATTACTACTGAACCGTCTGTGCCTTCACACACGCAGACAGACAGACCCCCCTCTGATACGCTCCCTCCCCGTCCCAAACACCCCCATTCTGTGAGAGCGAGAGAGAGAGAAAGGGAAAAAGAGAAGGAAAAGCCTGAAATGTCACACAGTCTTAAAATGAGTTGATACAACAACCAGCATACATTCTGTTCGGTTCCGTTCCGCGTCTTCTGTCCCGTCTGTCTGGCAAGCTGTACTCGCTTCGTTTTTCTTCTGTAAATCTGCAGTGTCAACTAGAATTTGTGTGTTAGCTTTTATTTTTATATTTTTAGTTTTCATTTTCATTTTAGTTTGTTTTAGCAATTTTGTTATGTGCTTTTGTCATTTTTATCAGTGTTTTTTCTACATAGATTTAGTTAATTTTTATTTCAATTTTAGTTTTAATCCTTTTAAGTTTACAGTACTTTAGCATTTCAGTTATTTGTCAAAGCAACATTTCTCATTTTAATTTAAGTTTTCTAAGTTTAAGTTTTTTAATATGAATGTTATTTGATTTAAGCTTTATTTCAATTACGCAGAACATTTTTTAAAAGTTTTAGTTAATAACAACAATGTTTTAAGTTTGTGCAGATTCTTGGACAGTAGTAAATAATGATAACTGTTATGTGGAGAAATGTTAGACTTTATGAATCAATGCAATTTTGAAGCAGATCTCCAGTACAGTATGTTGTACACACACATATACATTATCAGTGTGCACAATGATGATAAGTGCAGGCCACAGTTACTATGAATGGAGCTTCATAGGACAGGATGATGTCGGCATCTGCCTGCATGCTGCACCCTTTATGTTCTTCATGTCTTTGTGCTCACATGTAAAGCAAGTGTGAGTCTCTCAAACCGGCCCCCCATTCACTTAATGAAGTGTCTGAATACACCACACGCCACTCTCGCTCTCCCTTTCTCTCCCTCTGACCAGTTTCTAAAATAATTATTATACACACACATATTCGATATATTTAGGATCATTTTTATTATATTATTTCAGATTGCCATAATATTATTTATAATATGTATTTATAATATTTTGTATATGCACATGCATTGAAATGTAAATATTAAATAAAATATTTTTATAATAAAAGCAGGTTATTTTTATGTTTGCAAGTATTATATTATTATAAAAATCTCTCTTCATAATTATATAGGTTACATTATATTCATATTATTAAATCACATTAATATTAATGTTTCATGTGTATATATATATATATATATATATATTTGAGGCTTGGTTATTTTGCATATATTCATATATTTAAGTAGATCGACATACTTTATATATTTACATTTATTGCAGCTGTTCATTACTTTATATGTATTACAAATATTAAATAATATAAATAAAGAACTGTATACACTATGTGCATAATTCAGATTCTATATAATTTTATGAATATTTATATAATATTGGCTAATATAAATATTATTAATGGTTTGCATATATAGAATGTTTATAAGTAATTGTTCATTTATGTATACATATTTTCATATATGTGATATTATTAATCTTATTAAATTATTTATTTGCATATTTATTTACATGTATCTGTGTATACATTAGATATATTTACATTTTTATAATCATCCATTTGTTGCAATAATCTTAATAATCTGTCAAAATCACTGAAATTATCAACAAGTGAAATGTTACAGGTTGTGTGTGTGACCACCCAACCTCGTTCACACAAAGAGAAAAAATCCTGATCTTTCATTTGAGCATCTGGTCAGTGCCCCAGGACAGGCGGTTCCCTCCACACCCCCACCCCCACCCCAGCGCCTGCGGGCCAGAGGGCCAGAGGGCCAGAGGGCCAGATCAGGTCTGCCTGCTGCATGCTATGAAAGGCTTTGGGTTTCATCCAGTGATTATTGTTTGGGGGGATTTACTCAGTATCTCCATCTATCTCATCCTCAGATAAGGCTACTTTTTCCTCTCTCTCTTGCTCCATCACTCTCTTTATCTCACTCTATCCCTGTTTCTTCCTCCATCCCTCTTTCTGGAATGCTTCCTGTTTCTCTGATCGCAGGTGTCTGATTCTCTTTGCCTCCGTTGTGGTTTCATTTATCCGGAAGGTTCTTCTTGCCCTGCTCAAAGGAGAAACACAAAACCCACGGTGGGAGATGCTCTCCTCCTCTTTCCTCCTTCTCATTACTGTCTCTCTCCCTCTCATGTTCATTCTTCATATCCTGCATTCTCTCATTGTTTTGTGACTTTGCAATTCATAAAACAGCACGGTTCCTTTAAATGTTTCTCAGTGATGAACTGGATTAGGTTTGTTAGATGTTTTTTTTTTGCTCATAATTACAACATTTTTCCCTGTTGCGCAGCAAAAGATCAGGACTTTCTGAAAACTCTTTCTTTGGTATTTCATCATCTTGCGCATAAAAAGTAAAGTTCAGGATATGTTGACCCAAAACTGCCTCTGTTTGTGCTTCTGCTTTCTCTGCTTCTTCACCATGATCCAAATTGTAACGTTTCATTGCTTTTAGCATCTCATTATTGATTTTTGATATTTTACTTAATCAGGTTGGCCATCATATTTAATTTGACATGAATGAAAATATATTCTGAAATACAGAATGCAAAAGTGTTGGAGGAGTGTGAATGATTCTAATTGAATGGGATGACAGAAATAATGTATCTTTGTGTGAAGGAGAGGTCACTGGTGAAGAAGAATTGACACCTGTGGAAGGGCTTTACCAATCACATCACTTCCTCTGTGTTTCACTCAGTCTTGGTGGATAGTAGAGCCTCTCTGGGGCTGAGAGATACGAGCACAGGGGTTTAAAGATAAAGAGAGAGAGTATAGAAGTCCAGGATATTAGAGAAAGAAAGTGTCCCTCAATCCCTCAGTCTCTAAAACAGGCTCCAGAGATGCCATTTTGGGCCAGATGACAAATGGCTCCTATCTGCATCGCTGAGGGAGAGAAGCATGCTGGGAGACTGCTCATTTCCACATAATTACCCTCCTTCTTTCTCTCTCAAGATTCAAGTTCCCTCTTTCTACCTCTGTTGCTCTTTTTTCTCTACGTTGTCCTCTATCTCTTTCTTCTATATTCTCTGTCAGTACTAAGAGAGTTTCTGCTCTTAGGCTGCATCTGCTCAACAAAAGCATGTAATATTGATTTTCATTTTTCTTGTTTGTAGAGCACTTCGAGTCGAAGTTTTTTGACAGCATCATGTCCATCATCTAACTGGTCGAAACTGACAAACACTTGGGTTTCAGTGCAAAGCAACAGGTTTTGGTGGAATTAAAATAATTCTGATTTATACTTTCTATACGCCTCTTTCTATAATTTTTAATGGTTTTTGGTCATTATTCAGATGCAGAATTCATTTCAGAATTCAGATTATTCATTATGAAGATATATATATTATTGGTTGGAATTGTACTGAAATTGAAATAATTTTAATTTATTTAGACTTTTTTAAACAGTGTAGGGAAATTTTTCAAATTTCTAAATAAATAAAAAACAATTGTCAAAATAATATTCGAAGACAAATTGAGGACTTACCTCAATTTAAATAACTGAATAAAAATGATATTCCCTGCATTGCAGGAGCCAAATATGTAATTTTTTTTTCTTGTAGCTTGTAAACTATAAATATGTACTATGCTAATTTAAAATGAAAGAATAACGGCTTGCAAATTCTTAGCTGTTATTTCTTAACATCAGTGAATTTTATAATGGATCTAAAATGTCATTTAAAAAAAGTAAGCTAGAAGCTACCGTTCAAATTTCCCGACATCTTGATAAACAACAAAAATGCAGCTGATTCGGCTCTTTTTTGTGTTGGGTCGGAGATGTTACATATATAATTGATGCCGTTAGTTCCTTCTCAAAACGTCTTCAGAGAATGAAGGACCCTTCAGCAATGCCTGCACTCAGCCAAATTACACTTAAGTACCTGCTCAATATTTTAACAGGACTCTGGAGTCGGGTGGGAGGGAGTTAAATGATGGGGTGTTGGACGCAGGTGCCTTTATGTATCACAGAAGCACCAGGCAGAAGCTCTTGATGGCTCGTCTAATGGGCCTCTTAGTTAAATATGATCTATTCAAATCCTAAACCCTGAATAACCCGTTTAAACGACACTCTAACTTTTCCCACACACTAGACGCTCCATTTCATCACATTTCCTTCCGCTTTCATAGCTGTACATTTGCACAATATTTCGTTTTTCGGTGTTACCCATCATGTCAACTTTAGCACCTAAAGGATCTCATTTTTTAAAAAGTAGTGCAGGATTTTGTTTACAAACTTCTTCCATGCAACTTTGAACAGTCAGAAGCACTAGATTAAGTGTCCGAGTCTGGAGATTCTTCTCTGCTCAGCCAGCCTGCAAAGAGAGCGTCATCATTACAGATCCACAATGCAGTCCAGAACAACTCTTCCGATTCTAGAACTCCCTCAGGGTCTGGAAGGTTATCTGATTTTTGTCTTAAAACCTCTTTCTTAACACCTTAAAAATGTCAATGCACCTCAGCTCATAAAAGCCAAATAGACTTGAACCCACATAATCTGTTCAGATTTACTATTTTTTTATGTTTGGGGTCACCAATTTTGACATAAACCTCATGTTTGTCCCTTAAATTGTACTTATGTAAAATTCATATACACTATCATTTAAAAGTTAGGGGCCAGTAAGATTTGTCTAAACAAATTAATACTTTTATTCAGGATTAAATTAATCAAAAGTGACTATTTAAATTAATTGCATTTGTTGCATTTAATATGCATGTTTTATATCATTGTTTGAGCCTGTACGGTGTCAACTAATAATTACTAATATAAATACACAAGTAGGGAAATGTGGAATATTAATCCGTGCCCAAAATAACACTGAGATCAGACCAGAGACATGGTGGGCTGGTTCTGATCCTCTCAGTTTTGTTCTGGTGTTGATTTGCAGCTTGTCAATGAGCAAATTGACTTCAATCTTCTTGATTTTATTGGAGACTGACCCACTGAACCTAGAGATCTCTACACCTGCTACCCAAAACACAGACACTTAAAGAGCTAAATAGAGGGAAGAGAGAGTGAAAGATGGTGTAAGCGTGCAGACGAGAGTGGTGCTGTTATCTAGTAAA